TGTCGTTTTGGAACTTTTGTTTTCTCTCTTATCCGGCCTGACCAGGCCCAGTCCCTTCTTCCTGCAAACACGGGTGTGGTAAGCTCCCTGCCGGGATCGAAGCCCAAAGCATGCCTAGCACCTTCTCGAGGAATGCCTCCGTTGCCAAGGCCTCCGGTGTGATTTGGGGGGCAATGACTTGTTGAGGCACGCATACACATTTGATTGGCTTCCTTTGCAGCAGGGCATGAGAACAAGGCTTGGAACGAGTTGTGCTGAATGCATATTGTATGTTTTGCGGATCGCGTGGGAGCCGGGGCAGTTGGCAGCACTGGTGCTGCGTGCAGGTGGTAATCGTTGATCGCGGCGAGTTCCGTCTCCAGGCGTGGCCACAGCCAACGCAAGATGTGAATAGCCACGCAGTCGATTAGTACGTTATGAAGGAGATGCTTTGCATGTATAAGTTTGAAGCCGAGCCACAGGCCAGGCTAGCAACTGAAATTGTCCACCTGGGATTAGTAAAGGCCCCCCCAAACAATGGGGGCACCATGGGGCACCTAGACTAGTTCTTGAGATCCAGCTCAGTTCAGATTCCAATTCATTTAGTACTGGTAGACTTGAGTTTCCATTTGATGTATACATGAGCTTCCTTTTGAGATTTGGAACTGCTTTTCCATTTGATTTGGTATTGCCAATAACACATTGTTGGTTTGTGATCTACGCTTCAAACCGACGTTTCCTGGGGACTGTTGCGCCGGCATGGCTGAGCAAACGAGTGTGGCTTTGCAGGGCAACATGTTTGAGGAATTTGCGGTGCTCTTGCTTTCAGTTATAGTATTATTTCTCCTTGCGTTCTCCCTGCCGTTTGTTAAAAACTGCTCCAGCTGTGCCTTGAGCGCTGCCACGAACAACCATTCTCGCGTGGGGAGCAAAGTTCTGCTGCCCTTGACGGCTGTGGAATCTCCGTGATGCGGATTGGGACGCAATCTGCCAAGCTTCGAGGCGTTTGTAAACCGGGGGCTTTCGGGTGTGTGGCGCGCATCTCGGCCGTTCACCAGATGCGGTTGCGTCCGGCAAAAGTTCGCCGCCGTCAGCAAGCACGTCGCTGACCAGTGGCTGAGGCCCGCACGCACTTGCGGCTGTTTTCATCTTGTGCTCTTCCCGGCTCTTTGGCGTTGGGGTCCTCTTCTTCGTTGCTCTTGGCTCCCTTGCAGCACGGTTTCTTGCTCTTCTGGCAGCCTGGTACTCTGAGCTCCAGAGTTGTTTCTTGACCCCGCCTTCCGTGTGTTCTTCCGGCACGACCCTTTGTGGCAGGTCGTCTTACGCCAGTCATCTTCGCAGCTTTCTCCTCAGAGACCCTTCGAACTTGGCCCCCGGTGTTTCTTGTTTCTTGGTTGACTGTTTTGCCCGCAGAGACCCATCCCATCCCGGGCCTGTTTTTCTTTGCTTGGATTGCGTATTTTCTGTCCTAATTACGGGAGCGTGTGGGAGCGAAGAGTTTCTGGTTTGCCAAGGGTTGCCCAAAGACCAACCGTTTTCTCACGCAGGGGCAGCAAGGACCGCAGTTCTGCTGCCCGGGAAAACGGCTCAACCTTCGTGATGTAGATCGGGACGCCAATTCGTGTACCTACAGATTTGCGCTGTCATTTTATTGGTCCCCCCTCAGAACAGCTGTTGCTTTTTCGGTGTCCCTCTTTGAAGTTAGTAGCCACTCGACCTGCATTAACTTGTTGACACTCGAGGAATGTCACTTGATCTGTCATCAGTTCATGCTTGACTGATACACTCCTTTGGGAACTGAAGTGTTTGACGGGTTGGGCTGTCATGAGCCAGGCAAACATCTCCAGAGTGACGCTGCAGCTGGCACCACCGCCGGGCACAGGCTTGGCTATTGTTGTGTATTCATGACGCATTCAGGACAGCATCAGGCAGCAAAGGTGCAGGAGGAGCAGCAGCAGCAGAAATGTCATGTGCGCCCACTTCAGGGCATGCAGGGTTCCTTCAGCAGCATTGCCGGTTGCCGGCTCAAACATTGGTATGCAAATCGGCGCACCGGAGATTGCCACCAAATCTTGTTCAGACTGCTTTTGCTTCTGCCGTCACCATGGTTGCGCGGGAAAGTTGCGGCTAGCAGTGGCCGATGGCTGAAGATATTTAGGCAAATGAGTCACCTAGCCCATAATTAACATGGTCAGTCACAGCTGTGTCCTGCAAGGTGTCCTTTCCAGACGTTTTGCATCGATAGCTTATTGGTTTTGCTTTGAGGGTTCCAACTCACAGCTTTATAGCAGTTTTACGCAAAGGCTTGCACTGATGCGCCGCAGGTGCGCGTGCTGCGTCGGTGTTCTGCCGGCCCCGCGACGAGCTTTCAGCGCCTACCATTTTGTTGGGAGTACGCTTGCTGGGATTGGTTTAAAGGGCACCGAAGAGAACCACAGAATTTCAGGGGTTCCATTCGGAAGCTCCACTCAACTAGGCAATCGCGACAGCTTTGGCCTCGAGCCCAGAAGGCATGTTGGGGGCATTTTCAGGTCGAGAGACTTCGCTTTGTTGAGGCCAAAAGGCTGGTTGAGTCTTCGGACTCATCATTTCTTGAGAAGCTTTCGCGGCCACTTATGGCTCCAGCAGTGCTCGTTTTGCCTCCGCATCGGAGACAGTGCAGCGGGCACCAATGGAGGTGGAGGGTGAGGGCCATTACAATATCTGGATTGATGCGTCCATTCTCACCTATGTTACAATCGCCTTGCTCATGGCATGGATCGCCCTGCTCATTATTCAAATTATCGACACCCACGCCAACGGAAGGCGACGAGAGGAGGAGCTCAGGCTTGCACAGTTGGAGAGCCTGAAAGCCTTCGAACGAGATGTTGAAGCCAGCCTTCCTGAAGTGCATGTTGCGGAGCAGGACATATGCCCAGTTTGCTTAGATGACATTAAGCCTGGCCAGCCAGCCAGACAGCTGACTTGCAAGCACTGCTTTCATTCAGCCTGTATTTTGGGCTGGTTCTCTCATGGCGCACGCCATCAGCACAAGATCACCTGCCCCATTTGCAGGTGCGTCCACCCAGTGTACCAAGCATCTGAATGACGTTGGGGTTGCCTTGCAACCCTCATGATGTTGTTGAGATGAGGTAGTTGGCCAATGTTGGGCTGTGACAGATTGAGGCGCCACTAGCCGAAGGCTCGTCAAATCCTTGTGTTGGGCTCCCACAGGCATTGTGTACTTACAGTGACGCATTGACCATTGTTTTGTGTTTAGGTTCGTGAGGCTTCAGTGGATGGCTGCAAGCCCGGTAGGATGAGACAGTGCCTCTCTATCGCTCATTGTGCGCTGTCATGCTTTCAAGCGTCGATGCTGCTGAATGATCAGATGAATGTTTCACATTGCTGAATGAACAGCATTTCATGGATGATTCATTCAGCACGCTTTTTTGTCACGCGCGCAGGCGACGGCGGTACTGTCAACAACCCGCGCCGCCACTGTCTTTAGAAGGCTTAGCCTCAGCGGCGGCATGGGTCCAGCAATACGCGGCGCCTGGGAATTGTCAAGGCATGGATAGAGTGCAGGTGTTGCTTGTGCCTTGGGCAAGTACGACGAAGGTTAATGATCGTGCGGAAAACGTAGCCCTTCCAAGCGTGCTAACTAAATTCTGCCGGTGAACTCCGTCAAGCCACTGGTCTGGCCAATCTTGTGTGCTTGTTTGGCTGCAGGCTGCTAGAGGTTTCGAGTGGTTGTTTGCACCGGCGAAGTTACGCGTTGCTTTAGGATTTATTCGCCGCCGCGAGTTCGCCCGGCATTGCCAGCCATCCAATGTCACCAGGCAGCCCCTTTTTCCCTTTCCGAAGGAACTGGCATCGATCAAGTGACAAATGTTTTTCGCGTTTTGCTCAGGCATGGCGATGCGGGACATGATAAATTGTAGCCAAAGGCCCAGACTGGGCTCCTGAACTGTTTTTATGCGTCTCACAACCCGCCAAACCCTCTCCAAATCGGTCACGGGAGGAGCGACAAGCCAGCGACAAGTCGTGCAAGCACTGGATGACACTAGTACAACTTGACAATGACTGCTTTTGCAAGCTTTGGGGCACCCAGATTCGCGATCAGTGGGCCTAGCCTTAATATGTTCACAAGACTTGGAGTCAAAAAATGACCAGCAAATTCCTTGGTTTGGTAGTGTTGGTATTTCCGTTGAAGCCGTCCAATGCTCGCAGTACATGCATTCTGGCAGCCAAGGCCTGGCCCTGGCAAGACCCTGGCAGGGATGTTCTCAAGCATGCGCTTTTGTCTTTTGGTCCCACCTCTCCGGATTGTCCACAGCACTCTCTTACCTGCTTTTTTGTCTGAAGCGAACAAGGCAACTAGGGTTTTAAAGCACAGATGAAGCAATCATAATAATGATATATGTATGTATAGAAGTACACGTCGTATGATTATATCATATAATGCAAGGGTGAAACCCTGGTCACCCCAAGGGCACAAACTCACTGTCAGCATGTATCATGGGAAAGATGACACGCGACCGCGTTGCTGGTATTAATTGTCTACCTGGCCATGCACGGCCATGTATTTCGATCACGTTGCGGCACCCGAAACGATCATCCGACCCACTGTGCAGTTTGTACAAATTCACTTCAGAACATCATCCGCAGCGTTGTTGGACCCATTACTACGGATTGATCTGAACGGGCGCAAAGAAGCATTGATGCCGTATTTCTGGAGAAAAGCAGGCAGCTGCGTGCAGGGTTGTTGTTCAAAGCCTGTTGTGTGCATGCATTGCCGTGTGCAAACACTGTGTCATTGAACATCTCTGGTTTCATGTTGCGCATGGTAGGTGATGTTGAGTGACATTCACACTCAGCCCACCCGGGAGCTGCCCATCGCTGGCAGTTACGTGGGCGCACCCTTGTGTTTGTGTGTGTGAATTTGTGTGTGTGTGTGTGCGCAAATGGTGTACCCCTGTGTGTGCTCGTTTGTGCGCGTCTTGTGTGTGGGTGTGCCGATGCCTCTGCGTGAGGGTGTGCATGTGCGTGTGCGTGTGTGTGTGTGTGTGAGTATGGTTGTTTCTGTTTTTGGTTTTTGTGTTTGTGTCAGTGTGTTTATGTGTTTGTTGTTTTGGTGTGTGTATGTGATTGTTTGCTTGCTTGCTTGTTTGTTGGTTAGTTGTTTTTTGTTGTTTTTGTTTGCTTGCTCCTTCGTATGTTTGTGCTGTTGTTTTCCTGCTTGAGACGTGCGTTTGTGTGTGCGCGTGCGCGCCTGTGTGTGTGTGTGTGTGTGTGTTTTTGTTGTTGTTGTTTGTTCACGTGCCAGGCAAGCGCACACACGCACAAACACCCGCACCACATGCCCGCACAGACACACAACATACACACTCAGTCACGCTTGATCTTGCAGGCACACCAGTGTTGCTGGATTGCTACTGATGGCAGGGTCGGCGGTTATTTTGTTTTGTTCGGTTATTTGGCCAGTAGTAGTAGGCACATGTAGGCGCCGTCCTGGGAAAGCTGCTTTGCTTGAACAACAGCATTGAGTTGCCTGATTGGGCCAGAGGAAGGCTCGAGTGGTTTCCATGCATGTGAGTAGTGCTATAAGAAAGCTCTATGCAAAACCCGAACCAACATTTTTCCGGAATCGGATTCAGTGGGTTTGACCGCTTCCCACATGCTTCATTCGAATATTCGGGCATTTTGCCAATCATAAGGATCATGACGCACTGTGTAAGGGGTGTTCAAATAGTCAGGGGTGCCATTTCGTTTGGGCCCATTTTGTGACCATCCCAGTTTGAGTTCCAATATCGAGACCATTTTAGGTCTCGCCTACTGAAGAAGTAGATGTCCCCATGACACCCTGGTTCCGAATCTTTGGGACGCCGTTCGCCCGAGGCTCCAGAACTTTGCTAACGACACGGCGCGGCTGGAGGCCATCGAGCTGCGGGACGCGGGCTGCGGCTATGCCAGGGACATGGACCTCTCGGCTGCGGCCCGGCCGAGAGAGGCAGAAGCGCGCGAGAGAGAAGTCCGAAGTCCGATCAATGGGGAGATACTGCGGATGGACGAAATCCATCTCGCACCACCTAGCAAACCCTAAAATGATTCCCCTGTAGCTGCCAACAAAGAACGGTTTCCCATGGGTTCCAAGTGGTGCAGGATTTGGTCCATCCACAGTAGGGAGAACCCGTTGCATCCAACTTGTGACATGCATTATGCATCTCGGCTAGGTACTGGCACGTTGACATTTTTAAAAATTGAGACACCGCCGAATAGAAACCAGGAGCAGTGCCGGGAAATCCATGAGCATCAAAAGTTGGATCCAAATCTTCGAGTGTATCTTGTTTAACACCACTTTGCCAAGCAGGAGTTGGGCCCATGATGTGCCGACCCGCCCCCCCAATGAAATCGTGGCCAAGTGTCAAGCGATTTGGGCCTGCCTCCGCATGGCCAACGAATTCTTTTGACTTGTCGTCTTGATTGAGATATTTGTTCCATGTTTTCAGTATTTTACTTTTATGCCACCGTTGTCTTGAAGGGCCTGCGCATTTTGAGATCCACATGGATCCACATTGCAATATGGACCGCCTTTGCACAAGCAAGGCATTTGAGCAGTGCGCTAGACCAGCAGCCAATCATAGGGTCTAGGCCCTTGTTTGCATGAGCGAAAGTGAACAAACACATCATTTATAGAGGAGTCTTCTCTGGCGCGCCCTTTGCAACTTTATGTGTGGGATCTGAGGGCCCACCGCATGCGGACGGTCATGTCAGACCGTGGGGTGGGCATCGTCCCGCATGTCACCTGCGATCTGAGGTGATAGTTCCTGTGCCTGGGCTGCGCAGGCCCACATTGCGGGCAATTTTTAAGATGGCCTCGTCGAGGCCTCACTCAATATGACTCCATCAGTGAATTCTCAATCCCACACTTACGAACCAACCATGTACGTGATTTGCAAGAGGTACTTGACTGCCATAAATAAAGTCTAGTGCCATTACAAGGAATCATCCAACATTTTACAGACCTTGGCAGCGCCAGATTCACCTTGTTCCTTGCCTTTGGCAGATTCAATCATCCCTTCCCCTTTCCCAACAATAAATAGCCCCCTCCACCCTGGGCCCAACCCCCCTCCCCTCCCCACAACAAATATATTCGTTCGGGGGCCAAGCGACATTTATCTCCATTGTTCTTTTGTGCCCAGCTGTAAGAACCCTGTTCTTGAAACAAGTCCCTTTCAATATATATGCTTTAGTTTATTGAAGAGCGTTTGTGACATGTTCCTGCTTTTTCTTGGTTTGTTGTGTGATAGTGTTGTATGTTTGAGTATTGAGATTTGGGATCAGGAAGAACATATTATTCACAGGGCGCACTAATGTAAAAAAATAGCCAACCCTTGGCTGCAAGGCTGGAGAAAGCGCAAGAGCAAGCAAATATTGGGCGCAACCCGAAATAATTGCCCCGAAGCCTGCAAGAGTTGCAGCGCGTGCCCGCTGCAACCCGAAAGAATGTGGAGCACGCTCACCAACCCGTAATAAATGCTTTGCACGCCGGCGCAAACCGCAACTTGTAAGAACGCCGCAACTTGCAAACCAGAACAGCCTGAACCTCCCGAGACTGTCGCAGATGCTCGTTTGTGTGATTGACGTTCACCTTGTGCCGCTGTTGTCCTCGGGTTTCCCTATATCTTTCTCAAGCTGGAGTGTTTTTGATAGGTTTGCAGGCCCTGCAGATCCCTCGCAAATGCGAGAACAAGCGATGCCTGGATAATATTTTGGAGATTTTGAGACCACACCATGTTGAGTCAGCCTGGCCGACCCACTATGTCACATGAGTACATGCAACTACAGGGGCAGACATCCAGATGGCATTCATTGGCAACTCCCGCCCAGACATGTAGTGACAGGGCACCGTTCAGACACATTTCAATAATTACATGGATCATGTTCCGATATCGTTCCTAACGCCTACCTGGAGCCCAAATGTCCTTCGTTTTTGTAGGCCTTTCAAAAAAAACCTGGTTTTGGTTCCCAAAACCCGGTTTTTGAGAAAAAGGCCGATTTTTGGGGAAAGGTCGTATTTTGCTAGGAACCCCGGTTCAGCTGTCATTTTAGACGACCTGTACAACCAGCATTTGACCTGATGTAGCATCTCATTTGAGCTTTTCACGAATCATAGTGAACTTGTACACCCCATGATGAGATTTGACTACAAAGCTTGACTGTTCGGGTTTAAGAAATGACGCATAAGAGACAGAAGGCAATGGATTCCACGCATGATCTCCTGCCATCAAATTCGAATCAGTCTCTTTCGTTCAACCCCAAGTGGAACCAGACTATAACTCTAGGATGCTAGCCTGGAAGTATTGACGAATCTAAAGGTAAACTTCGGACCCAGGGTTACAAGCAAGCAATTTGCACATGACCAAGTCAATCAAGCATGCCACGTCTACTCCTGCTGGAGACATGCCATGTGCCAGACTATCCCTAGCTAACGATTTTGTGCTTTTTATCACATGAAAGCGCCGATGCGCACATGCACAGCACCGACATGCAATTCAACAACCAACCAAAGCGTTTCATAGACAGCCTTGATCTGCTTCGTTCCTGCCTTGGACAGCCTAGCTTTACCCGCTGACATTGAACACGTGCAGGTATGTATGGTAGGTGCACCTTGCTAAAAATCAATCCTGGCATGATCCATTGTGGGAGCCCCTACCGACGCGCATTTTGCTGCGGAACTTCCACTAAAGCAGCCCACTGACGCACAAATATGTTTTCTTCATATTGGGACACTTACTTGCAGGCCTTTACGCATAAACTAACTGAGCATGCTGTTCTAGAAGTAAGATCCTTGGAATTTCAAATCTACACTCTACCTTTGCACCCGCTACAGCAAGTTTCGGCTCAGTTTTGCAAAGGCTTCAATTTCGCAAGTGCGCCCGCACCTCTAAATGCCGGCTTTCGATCTTGGGATATTTGCTTTCGGAAAACTTCATGAGATTTGTTGGATTTCCGCAGAACGTGCCGAATACGTACAAAATACGTACAAAATTCGTACCGAGTACGTACTTTTGGTATGCCGAGCCAGTACCCGTACAAGGGGCGTATTTTTGCGTACAAAGGGCGTATTTTTGCGTACAGAAATACGTACTTTGTACGTATTCTAGCATGTTTTTGGCATGTTTGCGGTTTGAGCATTCGTGCTCTCAACCATTGTTTTTGTAACATCGCCCCGTGCGCCAAACAAATTTCGGCTATGGGGCAGGAATGTTTCATCTTGACCTGTCGGCACTGTTTGGGGGTTCAGTGGTTCTGCAAGCAGGCTGCTGTTTCAGGGAAACGACCGCAATTTGCGCCCTCGGCATTGACTGGCTTTCGGGATTTCATGGGTGAGTGCTTACTTACGATTCTGGTGCCTGCTGCTTGGGTGAAGCGCAGGTATAGAGGTTGCCTTGCTTTTGATTGGCGCAACAGTCCTGGCCACTTTGGATGTCAGCAATTGTTTGTTTTTGTGATGTTGCATATGGGCACGTATGGTCCAAAGTCATGCTGCCGCTTGTTGACTGCTAGCGTTACTGTAGCGCGGGCTTGTTGGTATGATTTTCCTTTCAGCTGTGATACTCATCGGGCATGCCAATGCACGGGCGTGTTCTTGCATTTTGCGCGGTGGTTGTTGCAGTGTTGGACTGGCGCACGCTTGCTGCGCAAGGGCAGAAACAATCAGTAAGCAAAACACGCAGCACCTGCGGTGCAACATCCAGTTAAAAGCAGATCTGTCAAATGAGTTGTTGTAGTCTTTCCCGCTCTGAGAAGACAACTGAACAGCACATCGCTTTGAAATAGCCGTTGAAACTGCAGGCCTAAGCAGCGAAAATCCGGACGTTTAGCGGGATCTTGGTCAGGTTGGTGGGCCACATGTCTTCCACGTGTGGTTTGTTGGAGCGGCGTGAGAGCGTAAGCGCGTTGTTAGCTGTTTCGCCCAAAAAAGCCGTATTTTCATCCCACTCTCGAGAACTAGCAGCAGTTTAAAGTAAAGCAAAGGTGTATCACGTGGAGCAAACAACATTTTGACAGACACGCGCTGTTTTGGAAAGGGGCGTATTTTTATGAAAGGGGCGTATTTTTATGAAAGGGGCGTATTCTCACGAAAGGGGCGTATTTCAATCCAAAAAGCAGGCCAGACACACAAATGAGGGACAAACCGGCCCCAGGTAGGTACACCTGCAACACTTTCGTATTGAGTGACCCGATGCTATGGTCACCCGTTGTAGATCCGGCGCGAGCTCAGGACGGCCTTGAGATGCTGCGCCCTCCCAAGCTAACGGTGCAGCTCACGCGGCCGGCCAAGCTGCCGCCTGCGCGTCGGCGCGCGCAGGAGGCGACCCAAAGGGGGGAACCGCTTCGGATCTTGAAATTGGCACAGAATTGAATCCTTTCACCAGCCTGATAGAAAGTCGAAGTGGGTGGTGCAGCATGAAACGAAGCCTGGCCAGTGCGCTCGAGTCTTCCGCGGTTTTTGGGCAGGCACTGCCAGATCAGTTGCCGAGCCACTCGGCAAGGGCAGACTGGGAATTTACGGTGGGTAGCTGTGATGTCCTTTGAGCCCCTGAAAAGGCGAGTGCCTATTTGCTCTGAATGGTGGCTGTACGGCTGAATGTAACCTTCAAAGCTTTTAGGGATGAGTTCTTTTTTCCCTACCTCCACTGGTCAGCTTTCCCTGCTAAGGCAAGATGACCAACTTGCTTCCGCCGCGCCCTGGCGCAGCAACAAAGGTGACGTGGGACTGAAGATGCTTGCAGTGCGGACAATGTGCTTTCTCCAGGGGTGAGCCATGCACGTCTTACATTGCCGATTTGGAGCCATAGCAGCGGCAGGTGTAGATAGACAGATAGATAGATAGATAGATACATAGATACCTAGATACCTAGATACGTAGACACGTAGGTACATAGATACATTGATACATAAATTTAGATACATAGATGCATACAGATACATAGCTACACAGGGTTGTTCAGGGCACGCGCCAGGGGCACGAGTTGTTTTCATTGATCATGTGCTCGCCGATCAGCCAAGCCTTAGGTTCCTCCTGCCAGAGTACAACGCGAAATTGGACCGCTTGGTGCTGACCTCAGTCGAAACATGATCAAGCTCGTGAGCTGAGGGCAAGGACCTGTGAAGGCATCTCACGAGACATTGAGGTCATCTCAGTGCTTTCCAAAAAGGAATGCTTACCCGAATTGCTGACATGTGTATGCACATATTCTTGCTTCACAAAGAGTTGATTTGACACCCGCTTCACTTTCACCAACCGACAGCGCCAAGAAGCCACGTCCGCTTGTTTGAAATGAAAGCTACGAGAGAATTATCGAAGACGTGTGTGCTTGCGTTTGTTCCCAGACAACAGCCCACCTCTTGCCTCTTTGCTTAAACCTCATTTCCTGGGGTTGGGATTCGATTTCGATTGCATCCGTCAGGTTCCAGACCAGAGCCTGCCGCTGACCCCGGACCCCAGCCCGCCAGAGGAGCAGCGGCGCTTGGATGAGGTGTTCGGAAAAGAGAGGCAGGGGGTGGCTGGGGGCTTTCCCGCTTAGTGATCGCCAAACAAGAGATCCCTTTTTCTTCCAAGGTCGCTGGGTATCCGGTTTGGCTGCCGTGGGCACACCCAAATGACTTACCTGATGAAGGTTGCATGTTTCCAATGCAAGCACGGTGATCTTGGGAGGAAGGCCATGTGCCGGCGTCGCTTTAGGCCCGTTTAAACCAAAGCAAATGGTCAAAGAGAGGGCAAGAACCCAAAGCCACGCCCTCCCAGCACGGCACAACTTGCCGATTAGCACATGTTTTGGCTTGTACCACCAAGACAAACGACTCTGTGTTTTGCTGGGAGCAGTTCACAAATTCACCATGAAGCCAAGCAGAGCACCCTTCAACCTGAAACGCCTTGAAGCGGGAATGCCTTATGATCTTTTCAAGTCAGTTACCCTTCAGCTGCTCGAGTCGCCTACAAGGTACGGACTGCAAGTTGCGTCGGGGAATGCAAAGTCCTCCGATCTTTGCCCGGCCTGCGAGTGGACTAGGCACCCGTTGAACCATGAATGTAATCCTTGCCTATGCAATTCTGGGGCCCCAATTGCGGGTACGTGGTTGTGCAGTTGCTCTGCCATTCCCAGCTTTGCGCCCCCGTATTTTGATAGAACGCCTCCAAGGGTGCGGCATGCATGTAAGTCTCCTTCATCTCCGATGCACACCTGGCCTTTGGCTCAGGCAGTTGGACCGTTTCCGAGCGGACTTTGTCTTTGCAGAGCTACTTGACGGCTATGAACCGCCTCGCGAGATGCAGAGACACAAATGCACGGTAACAGAGGTGTGCAAAGGTTGGGACAGTGGGCGAAATTGGCATGTGTGGACTATTGCAAGTCAGAGCATGCAATTTCCATAATTCGCCAGCCTGAGGGATGAGAACAAGAGTTATTTGCCTTCCACACAGATGTCAGAAAGAGTGCCACCGGATTATTGAATCGGAAGGGGCTTACGTGACCTGCATGCCCGGCATGGAGCCTCTGGGGGCTCTGAGTGCTGAGGTTTGACCCGACCTACGGCCCTGTGGGCATCTCGCCCTTGGAGAAGGAGCCACGATTCCACGGCTTCGGTTGGCAACGGCTCGAAAAGCTGTGGATGGGGTTCCCAATGAGAAATCCGGGAGTTCATCTAGATCAAGCTATTGGCATTACGTGCTGGCTGGCTAAAGACTTAGGATCGGTGGGGTTACGTCTTGTTCATGCAGGAGGCCTTGCTTGATCACATTTTAGCAATCGCTGTGAATTGATTTGCTGGCGCACATAATCGTGCGTTCTGTTTCTGATTAACCTAGTGGCACAAGCACAGAGGTGAAGAAGGTTTTCAGCCAATTCCTCTGGAAGTTGCCAGGATTCCAAGTGTGACATCTGAAAGTCCGCATCATGTGTGGCGAACAGCGTGAAGTTACGGCCCAAACTTTGAATGAGGAATGAGAGCTGTGCGTTGTCCATTTCGGGGAGTCTCCGTAGGGAACCTCCTTGTCGATCCTGTCCATCCTTAGTTCTGAGGGTGTTGGGCACCTGCGGGTGATGCGCATCACCCATAGCTTGAAGATCCCTGGGCTTCCTGGACTCGGCGCACGCATGGTGTTTTTTTTTTTTAATGGCGGACCCTTGGACCTCCTTTGGATGGGTCTACTCGTTTCAGCCATGCTGGGGTGTTACCCCCCATGCTTTGACCAAGGTGTTTCTGAATTGCCATCCAATCACAATGAAATGGTCTAATGCCCAGTGCTCTCGGGCACTCTGACAGCTGGTAGCCCTGCGAGGTGCAATCTGGCGGCTTTGGCCCGCATGCTTGTTCTGAGCGTGGCGCGTTGAGCCACCCGAAGAGGGAGTGGATCGCAGCCCATTTCTATCCAGCCTCAACTTGTCTAACTGGTCACAGTATCCAGTGACCCCATGTCTAACCAAGTATCAGCTCTTCGGCCCTTTGCCGGGGAGGAACGGCAGCTGGGTGGTGAAGACTACCTGCGACTCATGGCTGCGGGAGGAATCGCCGGAGTGGCGAGGCGGGGCAAAAAGAGCCGGCAATGCAAGCGAAGAACCGGGAGGGAAGAGAGCCACGAGAGAGCCACCTTGATATGTTTGGACAGTCCAATGAATAAAAAAGCAACTAAATAGTTGTTTTGGAGAATCACCAGAGATTTCTCAACACTGCTTGGGTTCAAACCAAAGCCGCCAAAGGCGCCAAACTTGTGCTAGGTATGCCTCGGTGCACTCCCTACCCAGCAGGATGCTGGTGTAGTTTACTGCTAGTGTTCTACCTTTGCGGCCTCTGCAAAACATGTTGAGGGTGTCCGCTACTGTGAAAGTGACTGTGTGTATGTTTGTTTGCGCTGGTGTGTGTGTGTGTCAGTGTGCTAATGTGGTTTGATGTGGGTGAATGCGTGTTAATGTGTTTATAATGTACACATACTGGTATCTATATATGTGTGTGCTAGTGTGTTTGCGAGTTTGTGAGTTTGTGCGTTAGTGTTTGTTGGTGTTTGTTGGTGTTTGTTTGTTTGTGTGTGTGTTCTTGCGTGCTGTGAGCGCGCAAGTGTGTCGTGCTGTTTGTTCTTTTTGATTGATTTTTCGTGGGGGGGTGCTAGTTGAGCTTTTGTGTTGTGGGAGCGCTGCAATTTGCACCCCACAACTCGCAACTGTGCTTTTAGCAGCAAATCAGTGCCTGGCGGAGGCTTTGAAAGGATAGCTTCCTAGCAACCCTTCAAACACCCCGCGGATAGACCCTTCCACAGGCACGTACTCGCGTTACATGCTGGGATACAGGCTTGGAGAGGCGACAATGTACTTTTGGATCCTGCCGTATTTGTTTCATCCATGTTTCGCCAAGTGATTTCCACCGGTGTGTTATCGGTTAGGGCCCTTTTGCCGGGAGAGCTTGTTCACCAACATTGGATGCAGGCCAGGGTGGACCTTGTTGATCCTGCGTGCCTGTACCTTCAGCTGAGCCCGATGCACCAACAGCAGGGCTTTGGCGTCTTCATCGAGCAATCTGAAATCGACGACCTGGGTTACAGAAGAAGCGACTTCACTCCACTGTTGCCCTGGGGATTTTCCAAGAACACAATCCGTGTTTTGCGTGCCGGGTCGACAATCAGGACCTTGACTTTCCTGCCGGTGCAGAATGTCAAGGCAGATGCTGGGGGGTGATGTCGGCATGACAGGCACCGGTCGCTTCAATTTGCGAAAGCCATTGGAAAGCCCAGAGTGCGGCGAGGCCGCAAAAGGCTGCAAGGCTTCTTGCCATGCATGCAGTCAAGAGTATTTTCTGGGTTCGGGAATGCACCCTGCAGGAGACTGCTTTTATCCGAGATGTTGCAAGCATCAACACGTGCACAGAATGGCACAGACCGCTGGAGGACCATTGTCTTTCGTGAATGAGGGCTGCTGTGCGCCCTTGGTCTTGTTTGCAGGGTCATGGATTGAGACTGACCCTGGGCAGGTGACACAGCATTTGTGTCGTTCATTGCCAGGTCCAGATGCAGACGAACCCCAGCCTTGGCAGCAACTTCCTGAACAACCTGAAGCGCTCGGTGACGCCGCTTGCCCAAGTCCAGTGGAAGATACAGACAGCTGGGGCAAAGGAGGCCGAGGGATTGCTTTTGGCAAGTCGGGCTGTGAGCCAACGGGTTTGCATGACACTTGAACGATTCGTGACTTGGATAGCGCGGTTTGCGCAAGATCCGCTCCAATCCAATGACTTTTAGCCAGAACCCTAATATCCCTAATCTTCAAACAAACGTGCTTATGTTTGTTGACCCGCTTTGAATCAGCCTTCTAAGAGGTCCAACAAGAAAAGAAAGGCTGTGTTTGATTGCTGGGTCCCAGGACGCAGCCCACCAGCCAGCTGTACCGAGCAGCAGCAGCTTGGTGAGTCACATAGTGTACGCGGCATTTAGGGACAGTCGTATTTTCCGTGTGTGTGGGTGTTGTAAAAATAACAATTTGCCTGATGGTGATTTTTGAAGTTTCTCTTTGCGGGTGAATCCTTGCAGTTTTTAGCACTGCTAAATTCGGCTGCTTTCAGAAGCTGACTGCCAAACGGATTCGTGTTTGTGGTTCGTTTTTTTTTGGTTCGGGTGCAGCGAGACAGCATTGGCAGCATGCTTGATGCTGTTCTACTTGCTCAAGTTCCGAGAGTTTGGCACGGCATGTGCAACGCTGGGCGCCGCAAGGATGTAGCCTGCATTTTCTCTGCCATCTTTGGATTCCTTAGCTTTGGTGTCAAGGACCGGGGAGATTCAAGAAACCACGACCAACCCCCCACCCACGCACCGCACACCCACCGACCCATCCACTCACCCACGCACGCACACTCACTCACTCACTCACTCACCTCACTCACCTCACTCACCTCACTCACCTCACTCACCGCACTCACCTCACTCACCTCACTCACCTCACTCACCTCACTCCGCTCCGCTCCACTCCACTCCCACTCCCACTCAAACTCCCACTCCACTCCACTCCGCTCATTCCACTCCCACACAGTCTCTGACACACGCGCAGCGCACACACACACACACGCACAGATCCACAAGCTTTGTTCAGCGCCCAGTCGTGATGGCGAAGGCGTTGTTTTGCTGTGAGCCTGAGTTCTTCAGTTTCAATTGTAGGCCGTTGGTTGCCACATTAGTGGTGGCTTATGCAGAATCTACAATGTGACTCATGCCGCAAGCATGCCTATGCAAGAGGGCCACAAGGGCATGCGTCTCATTCCAAGAGGGGATCATTGCTAGTAGGCTTATGAAGTCTGATTCCAGTTGTTCCAGCCATGAAAGTTAGACAACCCGAACTGCATTTGCTCCCCACTCATGGCCGTAGCCAGTCCACGCAAGTTGTTTTGTGCACATGTTGGTTTGCTTGCGGAGCGTTGGCGTCGCCAGCCAGATAGATTGTTTTTTTTCATGAAATCCGGAGAGATGCCTGCCAGGAGTACTTGACCCGTGAGCTTATGCAACTTGGCTGCATTGGCTTTCCGCTGTCCTTGCCCTCGAGGCCTCTCGTTTAGGATTAGGAACTCGGCTCTGCTCAGGATCCAGTTCCCTGGATTCAACGAGCTGCTTGCCATCGCAGCTCGGTTTGCTGATTTGGCTGGCAGCAAGATGAGACGGTGTAGTTTTGCCGCCCCAAAGCCTTTGGGTCTTCCCACATGCCGAGCAAGCGGGCACCGCACGGCTGTCTTGACGCCCAGTTTCGTTCTTGTTCGGGCTTGACGTTTTGCTAGCCACTCCCGACTTTCATGCATGAAGCTGGCCAGCCGCCAAGCCCCAGGTCCTGGCCAGCATTGCCAGCGTTATCATTACGCTCGCCTTTGCAGCGCCCTGGGAGGTCTTGCTTCTCGGCACGGTTACGCCTTCACATGAGGCATTCATCACTCAGGCCAGGCTGCAATTCAGGGCGTCCGAATGTCGTTGATGTATCTGGGTACCAGGACAAAAGCGCACATCGCTTCGGTGCCCGAGTAGACAGAATACATAGACGATACTGTTACACGATTAGGAATTTCCTACAGCCTTGGGGGGGGGAGATAATGTGTTGTGCCAGCATATTTGGCAACCCCCCTTGATAAGTCAATCCGACCCACGTCGAGTCAGGCGCAATTACGTCATTTGCCAGCGCACAACTCGCGCATGGCACATGCGCAGGCGGATGCCGAAGCTCAATCGAAGCAAGAGCAACAGCGCGCGCGGGCGCGTGACATGCGCATAGCTGGCAGGAAAGCTTACGTCCAGGGCGCGCACGCATGGCAACTTCACATCGAGGCAACAGTGACATGCTGAGACAGCAATTTTGTGGGCCCTTCACTCATTTGAGGCAATCATTGTCCTGGCATGTCATGTTCCAGCAAGAGATGGCAAGAGTGGGTTGCAACAACACTAGTTTGATCAGCTTTGCCGTCAATCGTCGTCTATAGCGACTATATATCGTATATAAAGAGCTCTGACATTGTAGGCTGGACAAAATGCCGCGCGCCCGGGACCACCAAGAATCAGGCCGCAAAGAATTGACCCCACACCGTTCATATCCTGGCCACACTGAAGCATGCAAGGGTGTTTTGTTGGATGGCTTGGTGATAGATCCGCATGCTGTGGCTGAGCATGTTGGAGACAATGTCGTGTTCAAGTTTAGCAGGTGGTTGATGTCCACCGATCTTTCTTCTGATGCTGACCGAAGGTTGTACGCCGCCGAACCAAGCTGCCTGCGTTCGCGCACTGTATTTTGATATTAACAGTGCGGTTCATACTTAACTTGAATCGAGTTGCGACCCAACAGAAAACGGCAGTCTGGATTCCCCCATGTTCTGTTCAGGCATCGCTCTTTTCGGAAGCCACCTTTTCCCTTGGGAACCATTGTCCTTGCGGGTTCACTTGTTGCCCCTTGAGTTCGCGCTGGAATTCGCAAGACACAATTTCGTGCATTGTCCGAGGACCACCAGGGTCATGGCTAGCCGAGACCGTTACTGGGGCTTGCCCTTGCTGCTGGAGGAGCTTCAGAAGAGCGCATCCAAGGCACAGCTGGGCCTCTGGAGGGCTACGGGGATTAGCCGGAGGTGTGCATCAGGCACGGAATCACAAGATTCCGTCTATGTCTTCCATAGCTTCCTGTAAGTCTCTATGCTGATTCGAGATATGAAAGTGACATAATTGTGATGGAACATATGTCGACTCTAGGAGAAACCACTTCTCTGATTGCTCTTGTTCAACTAGTGCGTGAAATGATAGTAACAATGCAGTACCAGGACGACACGTCTAGTTCTTTGCGTTAAATGTTTTATTGTGTGTGTATGATTGTTTCTGTTGTTTGGTTGTGTTATTTAATGTTTGTTTTGCAAATTAAACAAGTGCTTGAGTTGTTTGTCTTTCTTTCATATTATGTTTCTTTTTTTTGTAAGTCGTTCAATACATTGACATTTGGTTTGTCGTTTTGTCAATTTTGTGCTTAGAAATCTCGCATTTTCTGCCTAGCTTCATCTTTGGAATATCTGGTACATGAGTAACTTAGTAAGAACAACTTGCATTCATCGCGAAAATAAACTGTATCCCCAGAAAACCAGAACTCCTATAATAAAGCATTGCACTGCATGGCTTTCTTATAACCTTCTTCTTAGTACTCCCTGGAATATCTCTCGAACATGTTCACATTGAGATTTGCAATCCATTGAAAGGCGGTGTGAACAGAGACTGAAACAGAGACGGCCGTTCCTTGAGTTGAAGCAGATATGAAGCTGGAAAGGGGAAGGGGCAAGAGACCAGCCTGAGGACATGTTGAGGACAACCTGGTGGTTTCCGGAGTCAGCGTGGCTGCCACGGTGCCTGACCGGGTAGTAGATAGCTCATCCCTAGCTTGACTGATTTGGCTAGTTAATACGGATGAATTATCGTATTTGAGCAGGGTTTCATTCGAAAAAGCGTGGAGGTAGCCAGACGGGGCGTACATACTATCAAGTACAGGGCAGTCATTCCGGCTACAACTTCGCAGACATTCGCCGAGCTCTACGAGGAGTATTGGCTTTTGACTGGCCACTGGCCTGCACAGAGTGTTTGCTTACTGCCGGCTCACGCTAGCGCGGAATCGTGTATAAGCGTGTCAACATGATGTTCGGAATATTAAGCGATTCCCATGTCCGTAGGTACCAATCACAGATACAGTGGTCATGCTCTCGACGCTTGTTGGCAGACATATCTCATTGAGGACTCATGCATTGCTTACTGCTTGGACCCTGTGAAGCCAGTGCCGCCTAAAACTGGTGTTGCATAGCTTGCAACCTACCTGTGAGTTACAAGAGCCTTCAACCTTTCTCACAGGGTAATCAGCGCGGGCTCAGCATCACAAGTTGTTTCACGGTCCAAATGGGCTGCAGTGATGATGATCAATGTCGATAGGCCAGCAAGCACTTTCACAGAGCGAGTGCAAGCAATCCCTTTTCAAGCTTAAGTTTGGGGACCCGCGACCCAGCAATAAACCTTGCACCATTTGCTTGTAACCCACTTCGTTGTGCCAAAAACCGTTTGATCATGGTGCGCAAAAGCCCGTTCTCGCACTGTGACTGGATGAAATCGTGCAACCAGCTCAGACATCATGTGCCAGCTGTTTCCTGGCAAGAGCGGCAAATTGCTCACACTGGCAGAGACAATCCGTGAGTCTCGTGCACTCCAGTCGCTCCAGCAGCAGCTGCTGCCAGTTTTCTTGCATAGCAGTCGGCTGCTTGAATCAGGTGATTGGGTACTGTAACGACACGTGAGCAGCCGAAGCCATAGCACCCTCAGCATTCAGCACTTCCATCAACAAACACAAAGCATATGCATATTATATATATATATATATTTATGTGTTTTTTTGTATACACAACATTGATATGTACATGTATAATGGTTTGAGTCCACATTCAAACCAGCAACAGCAACATGGTCGCCTGGTCTCGTCGGAGAAAAACATAGTAGGTGTTGCACTTACGCGTTGACACTGCCGAGGTAAGGAAGTGGCGTTTGTCGTCACCAAGTTTGTCATTTTCGACTCCATTCGCGCCGCTTTTGCTCGTTATTTTTGGAGACCGGGCATATGTGGACGAATGTCAGGAAAAAGCACTTTCTTTAGACTTTTTTTTGAGAGGGGCAGTAGTTGACGGCAGTCTCTGATTTCGTCAAAAGTGTCAGGAACCCAACAAATGTTGCGCCGACCTTGCTGGGGGTGTGGGGGAGGGGAGAGGGAGGGATGCAGCAGTCGAAAGCTGGTTATGTTGCAAGTTTGAGACTGCAGGCACGAGCTCTACTTGGTGGCATAGCATGAGTCATTTTGACACAATGTCATTTTGCACAGCTTCAGTCACGTGAGTTGCGATCGTTTCTTTTGTGCAGGAGGGTGCAAGCACCCCGGTTTCAATAGACAGTCTCCATAAAGCAAGAGATTCTTGTCCACGCTCTTTTTTTTGAGCAGCCCTCAGTAGAGTGGTCATCACAGCCCACTCTCAGGAGGCACTGCTTTTCTTCGTTCCTGCCTTCGTTCAGGCAGGACTGGGAATAGGTAGGGGTTACGGCGTGAGATGGTGCGCTTCAGGCGCTTCAGGCGCTTCATGTTGTGGGCTTGGGCCTCGAAGTCAACTAACATGGCTGCAACGAATCAAGCACTGCTAGCCAAAAACCAACGAAGCATAGACCGTCAAGCTGCATAGCTGGGTGCTCTTGCCTTCTGGCAGTTTTCAGAGCTGGCTGAAAGTTGACATGAGTTGCCATCATCCACATGTGTGGTCTGAACCAAACAAAGCGAAACTAACCAGGTTTCAGGTGCATTTTTTATACATTGGAATTGAGGGATTCCCCCCCCCCCAGATACGCGGGAAGCTGCAGAGATTCGTATACATAGGAGGCTCATCAGAAGAAGGGGTCACCTTCTTGGAGGTTGATTACCTCAAGGGGCTCGCCTCTATGAATTTTGTGTTTGCAAGACCTGAGCAGCCCAGGAGAACATTCAAGTTTCGTTGCCCTTGGCTATGTCTCAACACGGGAAGCCCTTGCCCAAGCTGCGCAAGTAGTGTTTCCTAAAGGACACCATCAAAAAGAGGGGGATCATGTCTTACCTCTTTCCAGGCCTATTTACCACCTTAGGATGTGCCTCAGGCGCCTTAGCTTCCGAAGGTGCAGTCCCTGGTGGTCGCCTGCCTTTGCGGCGCGCTGGCAGGGGCTTTGGGGGCCATCGTGTCCCACCCGATCGATACCTTATTCGCGCTGCGCACCACAGGTGCCCGGGCTATCAGGCTAGGATGATGCTGGGCTTCAGTTGGATATTCATAAATGGCAGACATATGAAGTAAGCATGGCTGGCCATTTCGTCGGATTAAACAACAGCAAGCAATGATATGATAGCTTGTTCATAGTTGCCACCTACTTGCAAACGGGGTATGTCGCCAAGAAGGGCAGCAGACTGCTCGTGAGGAACGTGCCACGCCCTGAACTTCTTATAGAAGTCAACACGTTGCGTGTGTGCGTGTGTGTGTGTCATCACGTGTCATCGCTTGTTGCATTTGATTGCATTGCAAGTTTGTGGTGGTGTTAGCTCTTGGGGTGGGCCGCTGGGTGGGACCTGAACTTTGCACCTGTTATTGGCGCTGAGTCCCTTCCATCGGCTGCATGTGTGCGCGCCTTTTATCTGGGCTGTTGTCCTGCTGGGTGGCGTTTGGCGTTTGCTTGCAGAAGCAAACTGGGAATTATTGTATCTTGAGCAGCTCGAACACTTGCGATATCTCTAGCTTTGACTGCTTAGGCGGGGGCAAAGAGATCCCAAGCCTGGACAAGCTCTTTCGAGGAGCTTCGGCAGCACAGACCTGGCCCAATAGATCCCAATATTCTACATATGTGTATGTATCTATATTTAGATATATTCAAATCTATATTTATATACCGGCTGACTGTGAATTATGCAACTCTCCACCAATGTGAGCTGCGTTCTTTTTGGCCCGGGATAGTTTGGAATTGGAACTTGGCATTTTGAAAGTCGAACCTTGGAGTTGCGCCATGTGCGAGAGTGACCATAAAGTCCTAGCGTCAACGCGGCTTTCTGCAACTCCAAGCGGGCTACTAGCCATCAATATTAACAAGCTCTGAAACCACTTCCCTATGACTGGTGTGTGCTCCGCATCCTGCTTCTAGGAGGGGTCGTTTGCAAAGCAGCGTCTACCAGCGAATGCTTGCCCTACTGTTTGTATCACCGTGTCACCGTGACGCGCCTTTTGCAGCACCAAACAGTAATTATATCCCCACTTATAAGCACCTCGCTCAATTCATCCCTCGCATTGCAGCATGCAGCATGCACACCTGCTCGACTACTTCACCGCAGCACAAGACCACTTGATTGACCCCACACAATACATAAAAGGCACCCTTGAACGACTGATCAAGCATGCCCAGAACCTGTTCAAGTGCGCCTGTCAGTGTTGCCCGCCATGCCTGACATGTCCATGGATATACTTAGATGCATTTCCAACCTTTCTGACGCTCCACCAAGGCCACATTGTGAGCAGCATTGGAAAGACTGCGTCACAATAACGATACGCGTCGCTAAAAGAAACCTGGCATAGCAGCATGCTTGAGTGTTACTTTGCTTGCTTCCAACTTGTGGACTCTAATGTAGCCGGACTGTAATGTAGCTATTGCGGTTGGACTCCAAGAGCTACTGTAGCTCTGCAGGGAAGGGCCATGGTAGACAGCTTTAACTTTCTAATGCGATCCGCGCATCGGAGTTTCGTACGTGACAACTGGCGTGGCATTCCTAGGTGTGGGCGCGCGCGTGCTCATCTACTCCCCCGGTATTGCGCTAACCTTCTTGGTGTGCCTTGGGTTTGCATCCAATGGGCGCAATTGAACGTGTATTAGTTTATTTACACAACCCATTAGTTTGGAGGGCAAACGTTTCAGCCGATTCGACTTCATGGTTAGTGCGCTTGCTTCAACATGGGAGATTCCAAAGCTGGCTTATCGCTGCTAGCATCTGGTAACCCTGGCCTTGTTCTGATGGCCCCTTGGATGGATCCCTTTGTGCGAGATGCGCAAGGCAATGCATGAAGTGGATGAATTGACTAGGCTGAGAGAACTTTCTTGAACGTGCCTGTTTGGTTTTCATGGGTGCCCCCGGGGTTAGTGTCTGAGAGGCCATAGCATATGTATTTCTTCCTGGCCTCTGCAGGTTTTGGAGGCCTTGCTTTCGGTCTAAGGGCACAAGCAAGGTAGGAAAGCATGAAAGCATTGGGAGAAATGCTGGACCACAGGTTGAACCCATGCATGACACATGATCAAATGTGCTTACTCGTGATTTTGGCGACTTTCAAATTGCTCTGAATCCCGTAGTGCCGATTGGCACTCAGTGGGCGGCGCGATGACACCCGACACCGCGCAAGTTCTTGGCGGCATTTGTGTATATTCATTGTTGTGATAGTCGACGATGCCAACGGCCCATCGTGTCTTAGGTATGACGCGGCAAAAACCTACCTGGGCGTTGGGCCACAAGCCATTATGCAGACGCTGGACCTGCTCAGGCAGCGGAACTGAAAGCAAAGGCAGCTCGATGCTACCAACTTGATGTTTACTAATTTGTTAGTGCTTCATGCTTGGATATGCTTGGTTTGACTACGTGCTGACTGGGGCCAAGGAGTTATCGTGGTGGTTTGGAGGCTTGTCAGTGTTCATGCCTGAAGGCAACCTTGGCAAGGTTTTAAGAGGGCGAGGCGGCAAGCCAGCAAGCTAAAGGGTTCTCGGGCTCCATGCCTTTTGTGCGGACCGGGACTTTGTATTTTTTAATGTTGCCCAACATGGAGGATCCTCTTGGCCGCTTTGTACCCTGGAATCAGATTATTTGGTGTGATGCTAAAGCCCTTTTTTGGGTCCCCAAATTCAGGCCGCCGACCTGACTGCCTCAGCTTAGCGCCGAGTGACCTGAGCTGCATGCCTAGGGGCTGTCGGAGGCCCCATGTCCTTAGAGGAGTTACAGTTGACCTTCAGGTCTACCACCCCATTTTCCCTTGACCACCGGTCATTTTTGTCATTGTTTGTGAATAATTCTTATGTACAGCCATTGCAAGACTCAGGCTGGTCGAAAAGGAGCCTTTGCAGCGCGCAGGCTGTTGAGGGCGGAATCCAAATCCAGCTGGCAGGGATTGAAATGATATCAGCCATTTTTTGATCGAAACTTCTTGGCCTATTGCTATTCCTTGCTAATAACCACCCACCCAGTGCCACAAGCAGCAAGTGCGCACTGTGAATGTGGCAAAGCAGGCGCACGGGATTGTATGCTTGCTTCAGGTCTAGGCTGCCCCTCAGTAAGTTTCAACAACAATGTTAGTCAGAGTCGTGTTGTTGTTTCGCCGTTTTCCTGCGAGCCATGCAGGGGGAAAGGGATTCTCAAAAGGACCCTGGACATGGTGGTGGCAACTTGTTTCAGGCCAACATGCTATTGTCCTTGTCTCTAGCATACTCAGCTGTTGATCTCAGAAAAACGGGCCTTCAAGCTGCACTGTGGACCGTGCTGTTGTGAAGCACATGCCAGCCACCATCAAACTCGCGCTAAACTTGCTTGGCTGCCGCAGCTGTCTAAACTTCTACTTCCGCGTTTTTGAACATATTTGGGTGTGTCCCAATCCACAATAGTGGCCGGTTTCCTTGTGACACTGATGTTTGGATCAGACCTCCAGAGCTGATCACCCCAAACAGGGTGCCCTTGGTCCCCCCTTTCCCACTGGAGGTCAGGGGTATAGTACCATTCTCATGGCAACTTCATGCGCTTGCGAGTGGGGCAAAGCTCGCGCCAAATGAAACAGGTGACGGAAGCCTCATTCCCAGCTGAACCAGCACGGTTTTGCGTGCTTCAAGGCACGACTTTGCTTTAGGGCCCCAGATGATGTTTTCGGCGAACCGGGTCAGCGCTTTTGGGCGGCAGAGATGTGATTTTCATGACATTTCCTCAATTCCCTCACCCATGGCGCCCACGACCTCAAAAACTGCGGCCAAATGTCGATTTCACTGTTGGCCCGAGTAAAATTGACGTTGACTGGCAATTAAGCAACTGCTTGCCTCGGCGCTGAGCCCGCAAGCACAGGCTAAGCCACAAGACTTCCAGAAGACAAGAACCCTCCTGGCCTGAAACGCCACGCGCCCCTGAAATGGCATGGAGCGCCCGGCATTGCGGGCACAAGGCGCGGCCTTCGGGCCTTGAGTCGTTCTTGGGCGTAAACCAGAGTACTCAGTGGGGATTTGTCACCTTCCATGTGACAGTCTAGCATATGATCCTGAGCTGTGATTATGCCTCGGTATGTGGTGGCAATGGTCGTTCGTGAACTTGTGCTACTAGCAAACACAAACACATAATCCCTCCCCCCCTCCAAACAAATATAATATATTAAGTTTGATTTGGTATCACATAGGGGTTCCACTTCGGTCCTCGTCCAAATGGGGGCCCCCCTTTGCCGGGTGCAAACACCGTCACAATCGACATTTGCCGAGAAGGGAATTTCTATCAAATTTCTCCAGGCACTAATTCGATTGTACCAGGCGAATTCAAATTACAGTTTACACTTTGGATCTACAATTAGAAGCCAGGAAGTGCAGGAAGCACCCCCTAATGCAGGCTGTCACAAGTTTAGTATTGGTCTAGTATTGCTTTAGCATTGGGTCATTTGAAGGTACAGGGGGCGATGCGACTTTTAAGTTTGGCCTGAACAATGTAGTCGCTGCAACCACAGACTGGATGACTTTTTGGGGTTTTCCATACAGCCTTAGTTCTGAGAAACATTGCAACGCAACGCTGGTTAGAGATGATGTCATGGCTTTTGATGTGAGTTGCCCTCAGGGCGCATGCAGGAATAGTGAGGCTTTCTTCCTCACACCTCTGGAAACTCAGTGGCGACTTCAGTGGCTGCATCGCAGCAGGGGGTGGTTGCATGTCAACTTCACGGCTGATATCTCTCTTCTGGCTGTGGATGAAATTGGCCGCCCGATCGGGGACAGGACTTTCCATGTGAGGCTTTTTCTGTACGGTGTACGCCAGGTTTTGTGCGAGAGATTCCCGTTTTTGCTCCTTCCTTGTATGATACTAGAGTTGTTGTAGAAGTTTCAGGGTGTAATTAGCGCTCGTCCTCGGAATTTCGTGCGGCGGTTGTTGGCCCCGTCCTGAAAGGATGTGACAAACGCCACTGATGAAGCACAGCTAATTGCCTGTGCCAATGTTCGGCCTTGTGTGGGCTATTGCACTGGGGATGTCTCCTCGGGGAGGGCCTGCCTCTCTGATAGCGTGTCCAACAAAAATCAGGGTGGATTTATAAAGGGAGCAGATCAAGGTACCATAGATGGATATTTTGGAGCAAGGCAGCACAGGAGCTTGCGTGCGCCCGCATTACCGCCAAGCATGGATACTCATCAGGTTACTCAATTTCAACCTCTTGCAACATGGCATGAGATGGCAACAACTAGAGGTTGTGTGTTTCTTGGCTGCCCAGCGTGTACTGACTTTGTAGTGGCTTAATCTATTCTCATGCTGAATGGCCAGCACCCACCAGGCCAGGGTGCGGCGCTCACAGCCGAGCTGGGCACGGGATGCCCAGAATCCAGAGTTTCCAAGTGTCTAGTTGCGCCTGCAGGGATGTTTCTTGCAAAAGAAGAATTGTTCTAGCTTCGATGACTTGCGTTTGTTCGCCTTGGCTGGCCTTCATTCTCGCTTTGCAACCCCGTTGTAGAATCGAGTCACCCTCGCTGCCAATCCAACTGGACCCAATCAAACTCAACTTTTGCGGTTGAGGCACAGCGCGAAGCGCTCTTATATTGATTTGGGCGCTTCCTGAAACCCAGGTCTTCTCTTTCTACTTTGTCCGCCAATGTTTCAATCAAAGCCCCGATCCCTTCTCCCTGGAACGTGGAATTGGAGGGGGGTGACTGGGTCCCTGAAAGAAATTCGGTGCCCACGATCTCAAAAGCAGGCCCCCACAAAGCTTCCGATTGCGTCCGGCACAGCCTCCGAAGCCAACAAAATCCCCCCCCAACCCCAAACACAAGAAAAGAAGTGGACACTTGGGGGGGCGGTTTTGCCCAAGAGAATCCCCCCCCCCCCCCCCGGGAAGAAAAAAACAAAAAAACAAAAAACAAAGTGGGAACCCCCCGCCCCCTCACCGAGAACCCCTCGGAATGGCCCCGCGGCGGGGTTGTTGGCCCGAGGCCGCGCTGGTTGGAGACAAGGCCTGGCGAAGCTGCTGGGCGCCTCTCGCGCAGGACCCGTTTCCCGTTTTTCTACGCGGATAGGAGGGATTGACGTTGACCCGTGCACGGTTGAATCTGGCCCATTGTTTTTTATATTTACCTATCTATCTGTTTTCCTCCTATCTATCTATCCATCTATCTATTTGTTTATTCTGTTGTGTACCTATCTATTTGCCGATCTATCTCTGCGTTTGACTAAAATGATGGTAGAACAGGTTGAAATTCCAGGTCTCGAGTTGAACGACCAAGGAATCATAAAAGGGACGCAACTGTATCAGGGTTCGTGTCCACCGGCCATGTCAGAGTAGTTGTCCTATTGTAGGCAAATGTGTTTTTTTCTCCTGAGTTTCAGGGTGGTGTGTAAAGGGAACACATGTATAAGATGATTATTGTGTTTCGTCGCTGAACTACTCAACTTCTAGCCATCATGGACATGGATAGCCCTTTTGAAGACGAATCTGGTTTTCAAACGCTTTCGTGTTCGCTTCCATGAGCCCTTGCTAATGAATCACTCCCGCAGTCATGAGTGATGCTTTGTTTTGTTTGGTTCTGCCACGACTTAAGTTATTTATGGGCCGCTTGAAATGTGTTGGAGTTTGGTTTCAGAAGACGCACGTGCGCAGACACAAGAGAATGGATGCGTGAAGTGTTCAGATTCCTTGTTCACTACCCAGGGGACGTGGGAAAGGGTCAACTGCAAATGTCACGTTTCCAAACTGTGTTTTGAGTTTGACACGCCCGTGTTGTGTGTTTCTTGTGGGCTTGTGCTGGCATCGCAACAGATCCTGTTTCAAGTTTCAATGAAAATTGTGCGACAACCAACGGAATCATGGCCACACCTTGGCTGGCTGCCGCATTCCGGAACGACTGGCTCCATTTTGCGAGTCTGATGAACTCTAAATATCATCCGCCTGCATTCGTTCAGCTGAGCTCAATTGGGCAGATTTTAGATCAAGTTGATGCTTTCGATCTAAATTTGGCTCGCAAGCTGCAGGGTGTCACTAACGGGTGCGCCGGACACAGCCCATGATCCTCGTCCTCGAATGTTTTGATTCGGGGGGCATGTTGCCTTTTGACCCCAGATGCGCATGCCCATTTTGCAGAGCTTGGGCAGCTGGACCACGTCTTGAAAGCCCACTCGTGGCCCGCTCGGGTATTGCAGCTTCAAGCGTTCAAGCGCATGAGGTGGAGGCAGTTCGCATGTGTTTTGGACAGGACCTTGTTCCTTTCTTCGCTCCGTGGTTCATGGGGGTCGGCCGCGAGGCATCCAGGTCAATGCCATCCACCTGGGCGCAGCCATGGCATGCTGTGGCAAGGCGCAAGGGTGTTCTCAGGTGGTCACTTCCTCAGGGTTGGTTTGCTTGGAACACATGGCCCACGCCAGGATTTCCCTGGGCCAAAACCCAACTTCTGAGAGTTTCCCCAGTAAACCCACCCTTTGAACCTGCGGTGATGGCAGGCGTGGCCCCTTGTTTGGAAGGCCCGGGAGAGCCAATGAAATTTATAAGGCCTTGGGGTGAATGAGGCCATATCATATCCTTTTCTGAAACCACACACCAAGGGTTCCCTGCATAGTATGGCGTAGTGTTTGGAACGTGTTCAGTCCAAATTTGTGGCAATTGTTGAGGCGGGCACGAATTCCCGTGTTTGTGGAATCCTGTTTGTGCATTTGGATCATGGGTCCGACGGTAAGTTGGGACTTGCATGTGGTGTGGCATGTGCTGGCGTACGCCTGCACCAGGTGCAACAGTATCAATAATAATTTATTATTGTGTGGTTTGGGGTGCGCATGTTGATGTATATAGGTACGCCTTTGCTCAACAAACACCGATGTGCCGTTTGAACTGAATTTATTGCCAGGCCACCCAGTGGGAAGCTGCTCTCGGATTGCTCCGTGGCTTGGCAGAAATTAGAAGTGTGGCCGGCTTGGCGCCGGCCATGAGTCTCAAAATGGACCAATGCTGAAAGCGGAGCTTCTTTTGAGCTGCCAAAAGGCCTGTCTGAAGGCATTCCTCGGTTTCACGCTGCCGAGCCGAGACGTGACCCGATTTGTTACTGGGCCGAAGAGCTCCAGGACTTTGAAATGCCAGCTCAGGTTGGTGATGCCCACAGGGTGTGATTTGCGTGGTGTGTTTCGAAGGATGGCATCTTGGGGCCCATGGCAGGTCTTACCACTGCATAGTCACGAATTCCGTCATTGATTGATTCCATTTTGAGGGACCTGTCCTTGGGCAGAGCCCGTGTGCACAGATCTGCTCATGACGCTGAGGTGCTTTTCCAGACTTTGTTGCCGGATGCTGAGAATATGCGGCCCAAGGTTGCGGTTGCAATCGTGCAAATATCCTGTGTTAATTCAAACGACTCCAGCATACACCAGCCCTGGTCAGGTCACGGACCCCTCCAGCGGTTGCCAAAACCAATACTTTGGCTACTAAGTTACTAGCGGTACATGGGATGGCCGTGAGTCGCTTCATTCTATTTGATAGACTCTTAGGACAATGTTGATGACTGCACACCAAAGCATCGATTTTTGCTGGCGTGCACATCCAGCGGCAGTGAAGTAGTCGTTCAGCAAAGCATTGGAATTTGAAGAGCGGTGATGCCCCCATGCAGGCGGTAACTTTGATTGTCCAAATATGACCTTCCAGCATTTCTTCTCACTGGGTTAAAACAGTTCGTCTTCCAGGTTCTTCCGACGACCTTGGTCATGAACACGTTGATGTCCGCCTTTGACAAGGCATGATCCCCATGCCTACCATGCGCGCTCGTGTGTTGGCGGGTGCCACTTCTCGTCCAATGGCCGGCGAGAGGAACATTCGGGCGGCTTTCCCATCAGGTGCCCATAGTGAGTAAATGGCAGGATTTAGGAACCTTGTTGTTTGGAAAAGGTTTATGTTGTGTGCTGCCCCATTGCATAATATGCTTCATGAAGTTGGGCATGTTGGGCCAGATGGCAGGCAGCCAAGCAATACTTTGCTGGTTGCCGCTTTGCATGGTGTGTTTAGACCCTAGGCACTAGAGCCATGGCCAGACTATTCCTACAAACCGTTTCATCCTTTGCGATGCAGTCGTGCCGGTGGGCTTCTTGCGATTGTCCATGATTCTCGTTTGGGACCACCTGTGGCCGTTTCAGCTTACCAAGCTTGCTGACACGCAGGGGCCACTTGCTTGCGGGGGCCACTGGCTTGCGGGTAGATGAAGCTCAAAAACCGCAAGTCCTCAAAGTTGTTCGCAACATGATTGCACAGGCCGCAGCGCCAAACCACTTGGCCTTTGTTGCTGCCTTTGTGATTGTAGATTCCTGTCCAGCAAGCCGCTTGAACCAACGTGATACGGCAATAACCACAGGATGCAGCATCATGCAGCAAACCCCAGCTCTATTTCCGTCAGTCAGCATTTGCATGTTTCCAGAGACATCAACTGGCCCCTGCTGATCACACCACACGGGCGTGAAGCCGCACAGCGGAATGCTACCAGAGCCTGCGCTGCGGCCCAGGCGCGGGTGGGCGGACGGCTATGCGGCTATGGTAGACTGACCTGGGTCAGCTTGCAAGCAGTGATTCCGCAAAATAAGGTCTTGCATGCGTTTGTTCATTAGGCGTTTTTCGGACCATGTCGATCATGGCCGAGTGCTGCAACCGGCCCACACCGCACATCGGCCAGGCTGTCACCGCAGCTGCGGCCTCCGCTGCGGCTGCGGCATGGTCAGATCCGAGAGGTTCGGGTGGCGCGGGGTGCTGGCAGCGGCCCGGACTTTTCCACGGCGGAGATGATGCCACTTGGCTGCAGTGGGCCTTCTTGGCCTCAGAAAAGGGAAAGTGTCCGGTGATCATATGGTTGGGTTGCATCACCCCCTTGGAAGCAAAGCAAATCAACTTGGGCTGCATGTGGGGTTTGATGCCCATTTTGAAAGCTCGGGGTTGCAGGATCAGGGAGTATGAAGATTTGTTTCTCGGCCGTTGTGGTGCCAGAGAACCGCTACATTCTTTCAGTGAAGAATCGTTGCTCGGGGAGGCCTTCCGGCGATTCCAACCTTGGGTCCATGCTTGAGGCATCTCTTCCCCGCGTCCAAGGGGAGAAGGCACACATGCAAAAACCACTGCGGCGAAGTCGGGCCATGGAAATGATGGTTGTGATTTGGGGCTTGGCCTGTTAGCGCGCCACAAGCACAGAGAGTGGTTAGAGGCTAACAACCGACAGCTCTTGGCGTACACAAATGACACATACCAGGATATCCAGTGGCCTAGGGGTGTTCAAGGTAGCAGCCGAAAAGTAGTTGGCAACGAAATGTTCAGAATCCCATGTTGTGCATTCCCATCAATCAGTATTTCCCATCCTGCCAGGCTTGCAAAAGAAACATAAGCCTGTTGAAGCAGAGCGTCAAGCACTGGGATGGTGAGTGCCTATCAATAAAAATCCAGACATCAAAGCGTGTGTTCACTCAGAGTTTCGCAAAGAAACAAAGCAGTTCAGGGGCCAGAACTCTTTCTGCAGTGAAGGCTGCGTTGTGTGAGGCTGGCTGCTTCCCTCGGCATTGCTTCCTGGGTGGTGACCGGGGGAAACCCTGGGAATCTGCTGGGCATGGGCGGACGCAGCCTGAAGCGGCCCGACATGGCCGAGAAGGAGGCGGGACGCCAAGAAGTCTCCTTCAAGGCACATCACAGCGCAACATGCGGGTTTGTATTTTTTGGCGTGTGTCTAGCTTCCCAAAACATACCCGCGAAACAGACCCCGGAAACATATCCCCTCCTCCAACTTCCCGGGTTGGCAACGGCAACAAAATACAAACCCATATTTCTGTGGTGGCCCACTTCTTTGAGGGAATTGCAACTTCCAGCGATGAAGCGAACACGTGCGGGCTTGTCACGTCGGTGGTCTCAGGGAGGATCAAGAGCCAACTGGAAAAGCTGGACGCGGGCTTTTGCTTTTGAAGCGAATGAATGTCAGCCAGAAAGGTGCAATTGGCCCGGCAGATGTTTCTCCGGGCAGCTGAGAACTATCAAGATGCGCGAGCGCCTTGGCTGCAGCCACGTGCGATGGGTACGTAAAACCACCAGGAGAGCTCTCTTCAGGCATGTTGCCTTTGGCAGGGGCAATGATTTAGTCATAAATGGGATACTGCAAACGCACGCCACAAGTACAAGTGGCCCATGGTCCATCACCTCACTCCGGCATGGCGACCTAGAGGTCGACCTACCTTTTGTTGCTGTTGTTTCTGCATTTGCTGCGCATGTTGTGGACCCCGGCCATTTTCAGAAGTGGCTTGGGTGTTGGACTTGGCTGGGTGCCTGGCTCCGTTCAGGAAAGCACGGGAGTGCTGCTGAACCGCATGGCCCCAGAGATCGTGCAGGCAGCCAAGCAGCGGCTGGAGGCCCGGTAGCACGGCCACAGCCACATCGAGCCTCAAAAAAAGTGGAGGGAGGGAATGAACTCAAGCTGGGTTTGTGCAACATCATGGGTCTATCGAAGAGTAGATGATACATACCGACAGGTCAGGAAACAGCAATCTGATGTTGTTCTTGCGCCCCCTAGTCTTCCACCGCCTCGCACCTTGCCAGGGCGCCATCAAGACGCTGCAGGAAGCGCGGCGGGAGCTTCAGCTGTCGCTGGGGGAATCCATGCGAGCCTACCTGGCGCGGCCACGGGGGGAGGGGGTGCTTCCTTGGATTGCGAGTCTTTGCCCGCAAAGACATTAGCGCGGACCTTACCAGGCATCAACTAGAAGGTTTCCCTGGTTTTGCGTTTGTTGCCTTCATCCATCCACAAGGCTTCGTCCGTTTGTTTGAGCCTACCATGCTCTATTAGCGCTGGGTCTTGGAGAGAGCCCCTGTGGACCAGAAGCAGTCGCGCAGTGATTTGTTTCCGGCCGGGATCCTTTGAGGAGCGGTGTGCAAGCTGTAGGCTGTTCCCTTGCCACAGGCAAGACCTTGCGGTGACATTGCAGGAAGCAACCGCCCGCTGTGCGTCCACACGCAAGTAGACGCACCCAACTCAAAGGGCAGGAATCATCAACCAATCAAAGGTCCGATTTCTTCTTTGTGGGGGAGGGAAAGCGTCCCCCAAACCATTTACTTGCCACTGACGTGCAGGTGCCCGAGTACCTGCGCACGGCCAAGGAGCAGGGCGCCTTCACCATTGCGGTGGCAGGTAATCAGAGCGCCTCGCCCTGCACATCAAGAAAGACGCTAGCACCATTTAGCACCCCCCAACACCGGAATGCCCACGAAAGCTTCAAGAGAAAAACAAAAGCGAAAACGAAAGCACCAAGTGAGTAAGGCACAGACGGCAAACGTATGCAAGGTCGGCATGGAATGTTCATGCCACATAACCCTCGCCAGAGAGCTTTTGAGAACCCTTCCTTGGAAAGTTCCGTAGCCTTTGCTGCGAGGGAAGGGGGGCGGCTCCGGGGTTGCCCGCCCTTAGCGCAGGGCTTTTGTCTCAAAACGTGGCTGTGTGGCGACCCAAAAGCCCATATTGGGCACGCTTGCGCAGCAACTCAGTTTTGTAAGTATGCTGCCTATTGGCATGCCAGTCAGAGTTGAGTACTCACTCGCAACGTGAGTGCTCTGCGTTTGTGTGTGCTTGTGTTTTGGTTTGGTTTGTGTTTGTGCTTGTGCTGCGTGTGAACCTTGCGGGGTTCGCCGTGCCATCCTCCAAAATCGTGCTGGCTTTTCATGGGCTCGCAAAAAAGCCAAAAGCAAGTTAGACTTGCGGACCTCGGTCCCTTCCCCAGATCTGTTTGGGTGTGGGCTACCAACCCGAAGAACACATATGGAACCTTAGAGGGGACCTTTTGGAAAATCGGGAAACCAACGAGAGGCCCTTTTTCAGGGCGCCCAGCCGCTGGGTGGCCGCGGGTCCCCCCGAAAGCGGCGCAGGCGTGGGCAAGTCCAGCTTCATGCGGGCCTTCCTGGGCTTCGAGCAGCCCACGGCGCCGCCCACCACCACGGAGCCGGTGCCCTACCTCTACCCCCTGAAGCCGCCTGGCATCCGTCTGAAACTCCCCCCTTCGATTCTTCGACCCGATTTTTATATAATTTTATTGCAACGAGCTCGCGGTGCGGCTGGGAGCCATCCGTTTGAACCCCTCCCCCGCTCGATTTTTCGGCGCTTTTTTTGCAACGAGCTCGGGGGGGGGGGGGGAGCGAACCTGTGAAAAATCGTCATGGAGTTGAGGATTAAAATCGGATTCCTGGTTTCCAAGTTGTAAGCTCTAGTGATTTGCCCAGGTCCAGCGAGTATCATGCATTGACAACCGGATTTGTGCAGACAGGGGTCCCTCGATGTTTTGTATGTGATTTCCAACCATTGACCCCAGATTCACAAATGCGTGAAGCTGGGGTCCTTCCATGTTCTCCAGTTGGGGGTAAATGAAGCTCACCAAAGCTTAACAACCATGGAGGTTCCTTACCAACAACTGAATTCAGGTTGGTGAATCAAGTACTGTACATACTGCAGATCCCGAGGCCGGTTTACACGCCCCCGTTTGGTTCATTGGAGCTTCTCAAACGTAGTCCTAATTTCTTCCCTTTGATACCCTTTTTGTAGTGTTTGTCCTTTCCTTTTTGGATTGTTGGATTCAGATTGGGTGTCATTCGCACTGTCACTTTGGCACGCCATATTTAATATGAGCCCTATTGGTGGCTGGTTGGGCTTGCCCCACAACTCAGATTCGAGAGGAAGGATCTAGCAAGGCTTGATTTTACTAGGTTGTTTTCTTGTCCCAACAAGATTTCCCTTGCGGAAGTTCAATCAGCCCTTCTCCGAACGAAACTGATATGACTCAAGCCAAAACTAACTCAAGTGGGTGGGGGAGCAATGAATCAGTTGCGTTTTGATTTTCGCGCTCGGGTGAGACTGGTGCCACCTGAGTTGCCAAGGTGCACCGTGGGACCATGGTGGTTTCAGGGACAGGCATAATATGATATATATATATATATATGTATTGTGACATGCCCATTGGCTGCCAGGTCAAGCACGTCCTGCATGCTTTGGGTGGCTTGGAAAGCAAGGCGAGTGCAGCGTTTGGCTGGCGACGATAGTGCCTATATAGACTTTGGCAAAGAAGAACAGAAACGTTGCAGTTTAGGTTTTTGCCTTTTAAGGGCACACCAATTCTGACTTGCCAGAACCGTGTGCGACCGCATCTCACTTCAAGAAGGCGAGCCTATAACTCACTCACCTTAATGACTGTGGGTTGTCTTTTGCCTTAGCATGGGCTGTTGCAACAAACCCTGACCCTTGGCCTTTGTCAAACCACATTGGCTGCAACAAAAAATCACGTACAGCGTAAACAGGAGAGTGAAAGACATGATTGACGACCTCTCTCCCTTCCTGTCAGCTCTTTGGAACGCATGCACTTAGGATCTGCCGCCTTTGGGCACCTCCGGCTACCCCAGGGAGGCTTACATGAAGTTGCTGGGCGTCAGGCACTTCGACCTCGTGGTGGTGCCGCTTGGCGCGAGGAATTTGGTGCGTTAAGGGTCGAAAGGGAACCTATACGAACCCCCATTGAGCAGTTTACGCAAAGCTGGAGACAGGCTACAGGTGCTCAGTCTCCCAGAGGTTAGGGCTTTTGGTGCATCATGAGCCAGAAGCCACAGGTTAGCATGAGTCATGAGTGGCGATGGTGATGCGAAGCTTCTAGCATTTGATGCGCAGCTTCCTGCATGGGCGCACCCGGACCCAACACATGCCAAGTTGCGGTGGAGAATGTGGGCTTCTTTTCCGAAAGCCCAGGATGTTGGACAACCGCATCTCCGAGACCGAGCTCCTTTTGCTGGACGAGCTGAAGCACTGGAAGGCACCTCTGCAATAGGAAGGTCTGAGTGGTCAGGGTCCATTCGTTGTGGGCGAGGTCTAGGACACGTGCCTCTTCCCAAAACACACTGGACGGACGACATGATTTGGAGCCTTGCGGCTTGTGCCCGCCTGGGCCCAGGTGCCCTATGTGGTGGTCAGGAACAAGCTTGACGTGGATATTGAGCCACTTGGAAGTTCACAGACCTGAACCATGAAACGGACCACCGTTCTGTCAATGAGCAGAGACATGTGTGGCTGTTTTCAGCTGGGAGTGAGCTAGCTTCAAGCTTTGTCCCAGAGAGTGTGTCGCGGGTTTGTGGACAATTCGGGATACTGCAGTATTGTAACCATTCCTCTCGAACCACTGTATTATCCACTACGACCTGTTGGTGCGGCAGAGAGGGCTGCGGCTAGGCGAGAGTTCATGAATGAGCAGATGGTTTGGGATGGCAGAGGCTGGAGTGGCAACCACTGGATGCAGCAAGTCCATGGATTTAGATGAAGGGTCACTGGTAGACAGAATTGATCTTATTTCTTGAACTGGCTAGCCTTCATGTTGTACCAGGTGTCTTCATACTTTGTGAAGGCTCGTGAAATTCAGCCTTTGCTTGGGCCGCCTTAGTGCGTCAGTACATCTATCAGCATCGGGGTTGGTCATCAAAGACTGCAAGAGTTCTAGTGCAGGCATGCCGCCATCGAGATTTCATTTTCCACAAGCTGTCACATGCATCATTTGGCGTCCATTGATGCGCGGCCGGTCCCAAGCTGAGTCTCAGCCACACGCCGTCACGTCATTCTTAGGTTTCAAAGCCTCGCCGCTTGCACAACCTCCAAGCTCCGGAGACTTCTCTCCACCAATCTCTTGAGCTGTTTCGGTCATATGGGTACCCATGTGGGCTGCATCCTCCGTTTCTGCCCTTTTCCTCTTTTTTTTTTGCCCCAGCTTTCTTATTGGCCCTTCAAACACAAAACGCACACGTTCAGTGTCTCCACCAGCGGGGGTGTGCCAAACCTAGGGCCAATTCGGAAAATCTCCCCAAAAATTCGAGACACCCACATACTCGCCATCCCCCAACTAAAGAAATCTCCGCCGGGGCGCCCCAAAAGCGCTGTTCGCTCGCGAGATGCCAGGTGTGAGCGACGGTTTGGACGACGGCGTGAGGGCGGAGATCCTTTGCGACACCCTCGCGAGCGTCAAGGAAGACCTCGTGGAGCTGCTCTCAGTTGAGCGTCCTCGCCTCAGCGCAGGAGATGTTTGGAGCATTTGGTTTTGAGTGAGGCTCACTGGTTGGTGTGCGCATATTAGTTGCTTGGGTGCTTGGTTTGTTTCTTTGTTGCTTTGTTGATTTTGTTTATATGGTTGATTGGTTGCTGGTTGATTGATTCATGGCTTTCAGCTATGGTTGCGCTAACTTAGATAGTGATGGTTGATTTTGTTGTACATGAAAAGTGAATCATGTGCCAGAACAGAATGCAGCTGGCATAGCTCGGTTGCGAAGCGGATGCATTTCAAAAGTTGTTTTAAACTTCCAGAGCTCAATGGTCCATGCCGACTGCTTTTGCAACAGGCCTTCCAGCTTGCAGTCAGATGATGTTCATTTGAAAGCTGATCCAAACTAAGCACACCTTACCTTCCCGGCGTGCGCCAAGGAGTTTATTGCATCTCAACACGGGCGGTGTACCGGAAGCTGTCGCCTTCTCAGCGGGAAAGATGTCAGAGGTTTGCTTCGTGTCGCAGTTGACCGCGTTGTGAATTCCGGTTCCGTTTGAAGCCTCAACCCACTGAGCGGATGGTGATTTTGGTTGAACATTGGCTGTTTGGAGGGTGTGTGTGTGTGTGTTTCTGCTTGCGTGTCTTTGTTTGTGTGTCTGGTGAAGTTGGAGCACGCCGATGTGAACTGTTGCCATGGGTTTCAAGACTAGGAGTGTTTGTATGCGACTGCGTAGTAAAGCCAAAAACCTTATTTGCCACAAGGAGATTGAAAGGAAATGCACCAAGTCAGTTGCCTGATTCCTATGTAATCTGGCAATTGCAGCAAATCCTTTATAATCTTGTGATTCCTTACTGCAGTCCTGGAAGAAATGCCAACAGCGCAATCCCGGGGCACACCGAGGTTTGACTACTCAGCTCTGGACGAGGATTTGCGGAAAACCATCCACATGCGACTAAGAATTGCAGGCGAAGCACAGCTCGAGGGCCATGCGGCAGCCGCTGTGCTCCCGCCCTAGGCGAGAGGCAAACTGCCTTGGAGCCTTCGAGGGCGGGAGTGGCCCGTGGTTTGTTTTTTTACCGGCTCAGGCCTCGTAGGAAGCGGAGATTGCAGATTTGCAACGGCCGTTTGGCCAGCCCACAGACTCACAGATATCAAATACTAGCAGCTCTCTCCGGCAGCTGACTGGCCATGCCAGGATAACAGCATGCTAAATGATGTTCATGATGCATGTCAATCCTGAACTTGCTTGAAGTAATCCAGAACATGCTGGGTGTAGGGGTTGATAACTGCGCGTGCCCACTTCGGAGATGTTAACGGTGCCTTGTTGATGCCAGCATTGAAGCTGCTCTACCAAGCTGAGGCAAATTACAGGCGGCTTGTAACCTCTGTCTTGTCCACTCAGCAGCTGTTGGGCGAAGCAACCGTCTTTGAAGACGCAGGGATCGCAGGGGCACTGCCACGTCAAGCCAAGGGCTCGTGCTTTTGTTTAGCGGCTTGAAACAGCGGAGTGACCGAAACCTCGTGGGAAGAGTTTTCGCAAGGCGAGCCTGATGCCTCTGGTTTTGCAGTCCTTTGGGCTGAAAGCAATCACCAATACGATCGCTGACAAACAGCATGAGACATATTAGGGCTGTTACTTTTGGTTTCAGGGAAGGTTTTGTTTGAGGATTCGCTCGATGTATGAGCGCTTTTTCAGATCGATTGCAGAGCCAGCGAGGATTTTATAAGATGTCTTTGTCCGAAGAACGCTGGGTGGTCCTCACCATGAAGTTATTTTCTAGGCATCCAAGTTAGGTGACCCGCTGAAAAGTGAGCCACACATTAAACTGCCCTTGGCTTACTGGCCTGGACGGCTACCTTGAAGCTACCGGCAAAGCTGTGCTGCGTCTTGCCGAAGCGGAGGTTGCTGGCGTCAGTTGAGCGCAAAGCAGCGAGGCCATGTAACATGCCCAGGAGCACAGGGTTTGTTTGGAACCAGAGCACAGGGACCTCCGAGTGAGCGAAGAAAGGCTCAGTCAGCTGACGCGGACGCGTTGTTGATGACAAGAGTTTGCACCTAGCAGACCTAGCAATGAGACAACACAGTGGCCATTCAGCAGAAGCCAGAGTATGTTGCAACTATGATCAGGAAAGTTGGGATTTGACCGGAAACGGCAAGGCCCTATTTCATGGCAAGCGACCCAGTCCCCCTAGGCCTGCCAAGTGAAAGCACAATGCCCCGCGCAGTTTTCCACTCTCGCCCTGGCTGGCGTCTCATTTAGGAGATGACGAACCATTTGAGGAAGCCACGGCTGAAAATCGCGCGGCCGCGCACGCCCGACTTCTTGTGTTGTTTGAGCTGCTATTTTACACGCCAGTTGCCAAGGGTTCCCAATGGTGGAAACCCACCAAAAGATTCCTGTATTAAAGTGTTCCTGTATTGAATTTTAAATGGGGCCATTTTGGCCCTTCAAGTCGCTGTGAAAGGTGCTAGTGGAGTTAAGGCCCCGTTTGGGGGCCTGGGCGTCATGGTATATCTTGTTTGTCTACTCCTTACCCTTCCCTTGAGTTTAGTATAAGTTGCCTATTGGTTAGTGGTGGTTCTTCGGGGGATATGGCACGAAAAGTTGTCGGCGTGTAGCGCAGTTTGTTTAATCTTTCCTAAAAAGCAAGTTGTGCATTTCCTATAGCCATTTGGGCTTTGTTTTGCAGAATTATTATGCACGCACTTTGTTCAACCCCTCCTCACTTACAAAATTGTTTTCCGACGTTAGTTGATGCACAACAGCAACATAATGTCACTTATCAAGCAGCATTTGTCAGCCTGGTCGGTTGCCGTACACGTTTCTGATATGCGCAAATCAGTGTTGTACAGACCGGCATTCGTGATTTAGGCAAGCGAAGACTTTGCCTTCGAACTTATTGTTATTATTATTAGTCTTACTATCTATTTTATCGTGACTTGTTTTTGGAGGGGGGTTATTTCGAATAATTCGAATAGGGAAAATCAAGGAGGTGTTGCTCCTGCACCCAAGCTTGCCCGTTTGGATCATTCGGCTCAAGTCACATCCAGTTATGGCTCAGCTGGCGCCGCTGGTGGCGGCGGCGCCAGTGCCTGTGCTGAGGCCTGGTGGTTCGGGTTGCCGGTCTCCATGCCTTTTGGTGTCACAGCAAAGCTTCCCTTTGGGATTGCTCAGGGAAACCAACTAGGGATACTGGCGGAACCAGGGATATGGGAGGATTCCCCTTAAATGCACCTTGACTAAGTTTATGGGAAATGGCGCCAAGGGAATCACCCCATATCCCCGCTCCCTCCGTATCTCTGCTTGTTCGTTTGTCCAAATTGTATTGAGCTTCACTTCCTTGATCATTTGTGAGTCAGTGTTTGGCGTTGATTGCAAGCAGTTGTCATTTCAACTTCGGCAAAAGGCTCTGTTCACGTTGGCATGCTACAGTGTTGGACTGTGGATTCAGCAGGCTTTGAGCTTTGCATCCAAAGCCTTCAGGCGCTACTCGCCACATGGATGGCTCGTGCCGCCATTGCGAGCGCCCTCCCGCGCAAGCCGAACCACGCGGCGAGGGATGTCCGGCTTCTCCTTTGTAAAGTTTGCGTGACTCGGCGGCACGGCACTGTCCAGACAGGGCGCGATTGCTTGGAACCATCATGGTGGGCTTCCAAATGTCGCTTTCAAACCATCTGAACACATGTAGCACACCAATAAACATGGTTTTGCCCTAGCAAAAGCACAATCGTTTTGTTTCCTTCAATAGTTTGCTCATTCCTCCAGAGAATTGAGCGCTGGCGTGAGCCCCAAAACTTATTAAGACGACACAGAGGGGAGTCCAAGCTGCACAATTTGTGCGTGTCAAGCAAAACAAACAATGCCTCTCGCTGGAGCCACGGGTCTTCTTCGAATATTGTCGTTCCTTCACCTCAGAGCAGTTAGCCAGGCCCCCTATCTCTCCTAACTCCCCCTAATAATGAACATATTCGCCTGAGGCCAGAAACATATTTATGGATAGGCTAGGTGCTTGCCCCAAGGATGGTGCAACACGGTCCTCGTGCAAATGGGGGTCCCCGTTTCCGGGCCCAAACATAGTTCAACATGTCAAATTCCGAGTGAGGAACTCCACAGCACACTAAGGCATTTGTTGCTTTCGATTTGGCTTTGTATTGGTTTGGTCGTGGTTCTAAAATGTCCCCTACTCAGACTGGAGTTGGGGTCAGCAGGAAAGGTTCTTGTTTAGAATTGGTTTAGTGTTGGCTAGTGATATTGTAGTTTGGAGATGTGGGGCCTGGGAGAAAACAATGGTAGAAGACGTGATTGGCATGTTGTCAACTCTGACTTCCTGGGCACGACCTCCGCAAAGCTGCAAAGTATGGCTTGCGTCTCGTAAGTCTTGCAAGTCAAATACTGGCAGCGCTTGCTACTTGTAGCGCTTGGCATATTTTTTTCTAGCAAATGGCGAACATCGTTTGCAGCTTGCAACCCTTGCTATTTTCTGCTCGGACGCTTGGGTGTTCTACTAGTGGGCAGGCATTAGCGCAGACGTTGTCAAGTTTTTAGATTGCTTCTGAAGTTCTGTCAGGCATCAGCGAATCTGGTGGCTGACATGCTGCAAGCTGACATGGCCTAGATTCATGCCTAATGCACCATCAGTTCGAGCAGCCAAGGATTGTGGGTGGTCTTGCCCACTGGCTTGCCAACTTCTTCAACTGGACCACTTGTCGCGGCACGGGTTTGAAGAGGGCAAGCTTGCATGGTTGTGAAGCGAGTTCACTTCAGAAGGCTGTTTTCTTTCCCTCAGTTCCAGTTTGAGAGCCACATGATTTGTACAGAATGTGCAGGGTGGCCGCAAATGATCCATCCTTTGTGATCCCGATTTGCAGTTAGTAATGCGCGTCATGTTACGATGCGTACAAGGTTTCGTGTTGTACACAAATCTTTCAGGCACATTATTGAGTACATGTGTTATTGGAACGCTTTTCAGCCAAAATATGTGCAAAGAGTCTAAAAGCGTGAATGTTAAACATGCACCAAGTTTCCGTTTCGCACCCGGGCGAGGGGCCTTGCTTGCACCTTGGCCCACGCCCCTTGGCTTGCAGGACCCGACGGCCGAAGACCGCGCCGGGGCCCACGGAAGCGCTGATGCGGAGACAGAAGCGCGCCAAGGTGGAGGCACGTCTCGTTCGGGGTGGGGGGTGGGGGGTGGGGGGAGGGAGG